CTGCTGAAATGAGAGGGGCCACAAAGAAGTGCAGAGTTTTTCAGGCTCAGTGGTGCTGACTAGTGTTAAAAATTCCTTAAAGCAAGTATTCAAAGGTTTAACTTGCGTAGGAAGAAAGTTAGTTTTTTTTTTTTTAATTTTTTTTTTTATACCAGTCTCCCCCGCTGGGTTCATGATGAAAAATCAATTTGGAAATATCACTTAGGTATAGGACAATTTTTTTTTTTTTTTTGCACAATGGATAATCAGCCTATAGAAATAATTACTGCACCAATTTGAATATAATGATTAAATTTAAAAAGAAGATGTTAAATATTATTCATTAATACCTTTTATGGTTGTTTGCGAGATGATCTGCAGTCAACATACAAAGCAACTTTTGATTTTGTTGTTGTTGTTGTAGAGATCAGGAGAGAACCTTTTCCTTCATGGATGGCAGTGCAAATATGTATGAGATGCCTTACTTCAGGCATTAGTTTTGGATAAAGGGAAGGAAAAAAAAAAAAAGATGTCTGATTCAGTGTTTTGCAGGCGTACTATACCACACTAGAAAGAACTGATGTAGTGACTGGGTGATGCTCAGAAGAAGGGATGCAGTCTAGTGATTGTTTGTTTCTATGGTTACTTTCTCCTGAATTGCTGTAAGTAGGTCAGATTCGAAGGCATGAACAAAAAACGAAGCGAGGAAATTTGGAATCGGTGGTGAGAGTTCAGAGAAAAGACTTTGTTGCTAGAAAAAACCCCAGCTAACTGCTCTCGCAGCTCCAATTCTCCAGGCCAGGTGAGAGCTGAATGTGGAGAAAGGCATTTTAACGTACGTTCCTAATTTGTGCGGACAAAGTCCCGCACAGGTGGATCTGTCCCTTTGGTTTAGCGTAATTCACTCTTCTATCAAACAGGCATATTATGGGCTATCCTTCCCTTGCCTCCTTTTGGCTGCATGGCTAGGCAGCAGCAGCCAAATGTAGCCATGGGGAAGCTGAAGGAGGAGGCCGGATGGCGATAAGAGAGGGAAAGATTTCCTGGGAGGGGAACCCCTTTTACGGGTTGTAAAACTGGCCAAAAAAGGAAGATGCTTGGGTGCCGTCTGGGTGAATTATATCATTTTCCAGGCACCCCCGGCACGTGACGCTGACAACTTACCCTCTGTCCTGCTCAACTAGGAGGTTACTTTAGGACCGGCTGCTTGCTATTTTGAACTTTCTCTATGCTGTCTTCAAACACTGTGGTCATCTCTCTAAGCCAGTTTTCTCACCTCCCCAGGGCAGGATTTTGCTTTTGCGCTTTTTGAGCTTCTTCATGTCCTTGCTGGCCTGGTCCTCCAGCTTGCTGAGGACTCTCTGACTGAGCACCATTTGCTGCCCTCCAGTGGATGAGCCGCTTCCCCAATGTGATATAATCTGCCAACCTGATCAAGGTGCGTCTCTCCCATTTGGCGTTAAATAGCCCTGGCACCCGTATTGACCCCTTGGGGGATGGCAACCGCCTAACCGCCTTGGCTCCGAACTACTTTTTGAGCAAGGCAGACGAAGCCGACCCGAAAGCTGAGGCCCGCAGGGCGTCCCCGGCTAGCTGCCCTCGCGCGCTGCGGGGCTGGCGCCTGCGGCGTCGAAACCTCGCAGGCCCCGCGCGGCGCGGCGGGAAGACGCGAGGCCGG